GTAAGAGATGATTTTGCATCTGGCTCAAATGGACTATCTGTACATTATATTGGGACAGGGACAGCTGAGCTCTGATCCTGTAGCCAAACACTTGTTTTGACCTCAATGCCAAGGAATGATGAAGATGTTACAGCCTGAAGGCTCTTGTACTGCCATGTGAAGGGAGAGAAAACCCCAGTAAAAAAAAAAAAAAAGGACACAAGGTACACTGTGGTAGCTGGGGAGAGAGCCAGGGACTTCTGTTGTTTGCAGGATTACAGCGCATACTCAGAGCAGGACCTGTTCTCCAGTTCTTAGACGAAGAGAGATATCTCCCTGGGGTTAAGGAATGCAATGATTGCATGTTTCCTGACTGGGCTTTTTCAGGATTCCCACAGGAATGAGAACTATCTTGCATGCAGCACATAGCTACAGGAATTTTAAATTCCATGGGCTTCTCCAGCTCAGAGTCATTGCCACTCCCCTAACCAGGGACTTTTCCTGAGGCTGGGGGGGGTTTCAATCCTCAGTACTAAGCATCAAATAGCTAGGCTAGTACAATGCAGAGCCTCACACTTGTAGCTAGAGTCCTCTTTAAGAAATGATCTGACTCATTTGGGTCAACTAATAGTTTCCAAGGAGATTCAGAAGAGAGGAAGTGTGATATTAACCTAACCTAGATACCAAATATTTTTTTTCCTCTGAAATTTCTTGACAGCTGATTGCATAACCTCTTTGAATGGCATTTGAAAGTCTGTTGCCCTGTATCTCAGAAGGAATTGTTATTGCTGTTGGCTATAAACCCAAATGACTTGTTGAATACAGATATTCCATCAAAAGATTTGAAGTGGCATATTCATTTTTGCATCAGCATGTAACTATTACCCGAACCCATGATTTTTTTTAAAAAACATACTTCTCTGACATAGATGCAAGACTTTAAGAATGTCCCAGTTTGTTTATGTAGGTTTGAGGCATACGAGCATTCCTGCATTATTATCTGCCTCTAGCCAGGCTAGCTAGAAGGAGACTGGAAAGGAGATCTGGTGAGGTTTCCTGTTAGGCTTAAGTCTTTGTTGCTTAAGAGTTTATTTGATTTGGATGACCACACTCTGGAGAAAAGAAGGAAAAGGGTCTAGAGAAGAAGGCCTCCAGTTTGATGGTCTAGCTGGAAATAATATAATTCAAGATGGGAGTAGGCAGCCAGTAGTGTATCAGACTAGCAGGATAATCAGCTCTGAATTCATAGATAATCAACATTGAAAGAATCTCAGCCTTAACAAATCTTTAGCAGAGTTACAAAACAGTAATGGAATGGACTGTTTAACTTTTGGGGGGTGGGGAAAGTTGAATTTAGGGTGTGGTGCTCTCCCTGAGTTTAATGCTCAAGGCTAACGCTCTATCACTTGAGCCACAGCTCCACAAGGGCTTTTGGTGGTTACTTAGATATCAGAGTCTCATAGACATTTCCTACCCAGACTAGCTTCGAACCACAGTCCTCAGATCTCAGCCTCTAGAGTAGCTAGGATTTTAGATTTAAACCACTGATGCGTAGCTGTTTGACTTTTAAATTCTGTTTTGCCACACTTTCTTGCAGAGGTAGTCTAGAAATAAAGACAACTCTTTCTGGATACTAGATTGCAAGATAAGAAGAGAAACATGCTCACCCATTTAGTCATCTGGAAAATAGAGAGTGAGGGCTGGGAATTGGCTGAGTGGTAGAGTGCTTGCCTTGTATGCATGAAGCCCTGGGTTCAGTTCCTTAGTACAACATAAACAGAAAAGTCCAGAAGTGGTGCTGTGGCTCAAGTGGTAGAGTGTTATCCTGAGCAAAAGCTCAGGGACAATGCCTGACTTCAAGCCAGGACTGACCAAGAGAGAAGGGTGGGGGAGGGGGAAGGGGAGGGGAAGGGGCACAGGAGGGGAGAGGGGGAGAGAGAGAGAGAGAGAGAGAGAGACTGAACAGTGGCATAGTCCCCTTCACAAGAGTGACCAGTGAGTAGGTGGATGGAAAGAACTTGGTGTGAAACAACTTTTTTCAGTCATTTGAGGGTAAACCTGTTGTTTTACTGCAAGTTTTATGGCTGCAGGTGAATGAATGAAGTGGGTAGTGGATAACAAGGACTACTCCCTCAAAAAGAAATTATAGGAAAATGTAAAGATTAATTTGATCCGTCCCACTTTGCTTCGGTAGGGCTACAATCCAGAGAGGTCTGAACTGACCACACAATTAAAATAACTATCTTTCTATACAAATGGAGAGAAACAGAATGAATGCATGGAATTCAGCTTCTTTATCTTTCTGCTCATGAGTACAGATAACGAGACATAGAAAGCACTGAGCATGTTGAGGAATGCAGGGATGCATGAATCTGAGAGCAGGAGGAAGATTCGGATTTGGACATATTAATTACAAGAGCAACTGGAAATACCTGATAAGTGCAGTTGGGTCTGAAGCTCAGGAAAAGATCTGAGCTTAGGTAGAGATTTGTGGACTTCTCAGTAGAGAGGTGGTAAGAGAAACACGTGGCTTTGTAGATAGACCCCAGAGAATGGGAAGAAGGGAGACAGAAAATGGCTATGAGTCTCCAGCAGGAGCAAAGGAAGCCTACCATATGCTGAGAAAGGAGATATTATGTCTCTCCTGAGTTTTGAAGGAGCAGAATTAAAACCACAGGGGAGAAGGAACATTTATAGAAAGCAAAAATATCTGGGCAGAGGACACGTGGATAGCTCAGACTAAGAAACTAGGAGGCAGGAAAGAAGTACGGTGAGCTGCTTTGGTTTTTCATCCTCTTGGGCTAAGAATGGAGGAAGGAAAGAACCCTAATCCCAGAACCTGCCTCCTTGTCAGGAAATGGCTGGGTCAGCCCCCAGATGTGGGTGGACCTCCCTGGAGGGGCCTGGTCTACTTCCTGACAGGGTGTGAGTGAGCTCAGTAGCCAAATAGTCACTTGGGAACTGGGTGGGGGTAAAGTTCCATTTTTTAATTTTTCTTTTCTTTTTTGTTTTGTTGGGAGGTGGGGGGAGAAGGACTAACAACACAGATCGCTTTCCTCTTATTGTGTTATTTTGTGTATGATACTATTATTATAAAATAGTTATATTTTTATTTGCAGTCCTTTGCAGATGTTAACTACCTCTTTTGATAAGAGGCACCACTTTTGTCCCTGATGAAAGCAAGTGGAATTGACAGAGGATAGCGATGTTCAATGCTATACCTTGAACTGTGACTAAGGTTAGATTTTTGGCCTTAGGCAGTTTGGCTTGAGTTCTTCTGCCACCCTATGTAACTATCCCATAATATTAACAATAATAAAATTATGACTATTTTTTTTGGGGGGGGGTGGGGGTCTGGTCGTGGGGCCTGAACTCTAGGTCTGGGCACTGTCCCTCAGCTCTTCAGTTCAAGGCTCACTCAACCACTTGAGCCACAGCGCCACTTCCGGCTTTTTTCTTTTTTCTTATGTGGTGCTGAGGATTCGAACCCAGGGCCTCAGGCATGCAAGGCAAGCACTCTACCACTGAACCACCTTCCCAGCCCAAATTATGACTATTGTTAATGTAATACATACCTACATTTTAAAATTGGAAGATACAGAAGAAAGTTAGCCATTACTTGCCAGAATGCTGAAATGGTGCTTTTTATGCTGAAGCATATCAGCTTCTCCAAAAACCTTTGGAGAGTCGAGAGTCTATGTGCTTCTAGTAAACCATCAGGAAGCGCTTACCTGCCTTAGTCAGACATTTGTTGTTTACTTTTGAAAGATGTTTTACTTTTTTTTTTAACAGATAAACTGTTCATACGAAAGGCAATGGAAAATTAGCCCTGTCTATATGCTATAGATTTGTCTCTGCTGCTAATCCCTAGAGCACTACCTTTGGAGAAATGAAGGGGTTAATGGGTTTCCCATAGAGACTGTATACACTACTTACTTCCTGGAGAACGCGATTTATTGAATGTATTCCCAATGTGCTATTAGTGGTTGTGTCTATGGTCAGTTAATAGAATCATATGTAATTATTCCTAACGGAGTTGAACTATGGTTTGGGAAGGGAAAGAGGGTTATAAAGTTTATCACTGAATCATAATATTTTTGTGTCAGAAAGAATCTTTAGGATCATAATAGTCCAGACTTTTCAGTTTCCAGATGACATTATGGAATGTGCACAGTGCTGTAGAATCCAGAAAACCCTTTGTTTTACCAGTTGGTAAAGGCTATCAGACTTACTCTACTGGGATGGAGCTTGGGACCCAGTTTTGGCTCGGAAGTAAGGAATGCTATAGTCTCTTAGCAGAATCTTCTATGGTTACCCTGGGAGAAGGGAAGAGGCAGCAGACTTGTATATTTATAGTCTCTGTTTTAGAGGCTGAGGACTTGAGAGAAGGAAAATAGGAAGAAGACTTTAAGCTAGAGGGCCAGGATGAGCAGAGGAAAAATAGGGCTGATGTATGTGGCGATGCAAGTATATGTATATGTGTGTGCGTGTGGGTATGACAAATGCGCCCAGCTTATGTACTTGAAGGGGTGGAGCTAGGAAAGGGGAGAGGTGAAGGACCTGGAGAATTATTCAAAGATTACATGACAGAAGGCCTGAGGTTCCAAAGTCAAACACTTTGGTTCTAGCCAGGTATGGCTAGATTATAGCTCATACCTACAGTCCTAGTTACTCTGCAGACCGATACCTGGAGAATCCCAAGTTAAAGCCAGCTCAGGCAGAAAAGTCCACAAGATTCTATCTCCAAGATTAACAAGCAAAAAGCTTGGCTAGGAGGCACAGCTTAAGTGCTAGTGTACTAATTGAGCAAGCAGTCCCAGCAAGTACAAAGTTCTTGAGTTCAAACTTTGGCGCTGGCAAAATAAAACAAGCAAACAAAAAAAGCAGCTTTCTCTCTCCAGTTCTTAGAGGGGAGAATGGCTGTTTAGTTGAGGACTGTTTATGCCCAGCTGCAAAAGAAGTTGAGACTGAAAACATGCTCAGTTGAAAATGTGTTTTTACAACCTTCTTGTGCTTTCTAGCTATAAGCCAATAGTGGAATATATTGATGCCCAGTTTGAGGCCTACTTGCAAGAGGAATTGAAAATCAAGCGTTCTCTCTTCAACTACCACGACACGCGGATTCATGCCTGCCTTTACTTCATTGCCCCTACTGGACATTCACTGAAGTCCTTGGACTTGGTTACCATGAAGAAGCTGGACAGCAAGGTATCAGCTGACACTCTGATTTTTGTCCACTCTCCTTTCAGATCATCTTTATTCTAAGGACCCTGTTTGTTCTCCATTTCTGGTGTATTTTTTTTTTTTTCTCCTGGATTGTAGAACCTTGCAGCTCAGCCATGCTAAGTGCCTAACAACCTCTTCCTTTCAAAATGAAGGAAACCAGCCCAGAAAATGAGTACTTAGTTCTTAATGGAAGACTGAAAAGTCAATCTGAGGTTTCTTTATTTTCTTTAAAACCTCTCCCTTAATCTCTGAAAATGTTGTAAAGTTCGGCCTTCATTTGAGGTTTAGAATGGAATACAGCTGTTAGCTTTTGCCTATGTGAGAACACTCTAGCTTGTTAGATTTTAAAACTATACCAATGCATTCACAAGAAGTAAACAGGCCCCTGACCTGAATATATCTATAGCTTCAAACATTTTTTCAAAGCAGTTGAAAGAAGGTACTGTTAAATTTGAAAATAGTTGACACTCAGTCCAGGGACATTGGCTCATCCTTGCAATCCTAATTACTCAGGAGAGCAGGGTTCGAGGCCAGCCTGGGTAAAAAGTTAGTGAGAATGTGTCTCCATCACTAAATTGTGCCAGTGCCTGTCACCTTAGCTACATGGGACACATAAATAGTAGGCTCATGGTTCAGGCTGGCCTGAACAAATAGTGTGGGAACTTATTTGACATATGAAGCCGAAATGGCTTCATATGAAATATGAAAACAAAATGGTGGTGGAGTACCTCCTGAGTAGCTATGTTGACCAAGCCAGGATCATATCTGGATAATGGTTTTGTATAACAGGAAATTTGAAAAGGAAAGGGAAAAACAGACACAAACCCAAAAACCCAACCACAAAGCTTTCAAGGAAATGAGCGGTAGGACCAGACAGCTAGGTAGCATCTGAAGTGGTATTATCAGTGGGCTTATTTATTCAAGTTAAAGAAGCACAATTATTTCAGGAAAGAGTTTTTAAGTTCCTGCCCAAAAGAAAATTTAAAGTTGAAAGAGCTTCATGTCTCCAGCTATTCTGATCAACTTGGCCAAGAAAATATGAGCCACATGGAAAGAAAAATGACATCTTGTGTCCATGTGGGTGTTAATTTAGCACTAGCTGAATTTTGTGCACTAGCACAAAATAGCCAGTCAGCACAATTGGAGCATTTCTTTGTTCTTCAAATCCTGATCTAAACTTGTCCCCCCCAGTCAGTGGTGTTTTCCTTATTCTTCAGTTGGCTAGAGTTAGCCAAGCCTTTGAGGGCTCAAGAATCAGTGGAGGAAGACTTTGAAGGGAAGGCTTCCCATCGGCCTTTAGCTCTGTCTGGTTTATCAGGGATTTCAGACTTGGCTCTTGGAGTTGGAGGAGAAGCAAGGAATGCAGACTGAGCTGAAAACCTTCTCTGCACACTCCATGTTCTGTGCCCCTGGGCTGAGTAGAGAGCATTGCTCCAAGTCTCACTAAATTTTTCTTAATGTCTTACTGAAACCTCTGTACCTGAATGGAAGAAGAAAATTAATCTTAAAACACATTTTAGCAGGGCAGTAGCTCATGCCTGTAATTCTAGCTACTCAGGAGCCTGAGATCTAAACATTGAAGTTTAAAACCAGGTGCTAAAACTCTTGTCTCCAACTAACTAGCAAGAAGCTGGAATTAGAGCTGTGGCTCAAGTGGTAGAGCACCACCCTTAACTGGAAAAAAGCCAAATGAGAACACAAGGCCTGGTACAGCCACATGAAAAAACTACTTTTTTTTTTTTTAAAAAAAGATTTTAAAACTATGTCCTGTGGACAGGGCTGAGGGAATTGGGAAAGCCTGTCCCATCTTGGAGTTTGGGCTTTCTGCCATAAATGTTGCATTCTGAGGCTTAGAATCTGAGCTTTGCTTTTGCCACTGGTCCTGGGGCTTGCTTGATCTCAGGGCCTGGGTGCTGTCCCTGACTTTTTATGCTCAAGGCTAGTCCTCTACTACTTGAGCCACAGCTCTACTTCTAGTTTTGTGTGTGTGTATGTGTGTGTGTGTGTGTATGTGTTTAATTGGAGATAAGGGTGTTGTTGACTTTCCTGCCTGGGCTGATTTTGAACCATGAGCCTCAGGTATGAGCCTCCCGAGTAGTTAGGATTACAGGCATGAGTCACTGGTGTCTGGTGAGTTTTATTTTTGACAGTGGGTCTCATTATGGCATGAGTAATTGTGTGTGTGTGTGTGTGTGTGTGTGTGTGTATGTGTGTGTGTGTGTGTGTGTGTGTGCGCGCACGCGCGCGTGCGTGCACACATGCACGTGTGCATGTATGTGCCCATCTTCTCACATGCACATCTTTGTACTGGCACTTGAACTCAGGATTTGTGGGCTCTCCATTCAAGGCTAGTGTTTCACTAGTTGAGCTACAGCTTCACTTCCTGCTCTTTGCTGGTTAATTGGAGATTCTGCACAGGCTGATTTTGAACTCAGCTTTCTGAATAGCTAGGATTACAAGCATGAGTCACCAGTATCTAGCCTGAAGGAATAATTTAATATTTCCTACTTTTTGAAGATTTAGCAGACGTGAGTTTGAAAATTGTCAAGTAGGTGAAAAAAATGATTTTTGTTTATCAATACTTAAGATTTTTTTCTTCCAGTAATTCTCAGCTCATCAGAACAAAGGATGTAATTTTGAATATAGTTAGCATTCTGCTGTTTTAATTAGTGAAAACTTTGTTATTCCACTGAGAGAGCATGCAAAAACCAAGCCCCTGGAGAAGCTGGGAGGGTCTCCAAGGAGTGGTTAGTTCAAAGAATAGGCTCCTTTATTATTGCAATTTGTCACAAAAGTACTTCCTTTTACTGGGTAGTAAAGTAGAATGAGGCAGCTAACGCAGGGAGGAAATAACAAGTACCTCCTGTGTAGGATGGGAGGAAGTCAGTGTGCAGAGATGAAGCTAAAAGATTATTTTGCATCTTCATTTTGCATCTAAATAGGAAGTCTGATATGTAGTTATCTATAGTTTTTACAGTGAGGTAGTTACTATTTTTATCCCTTCACTATATTTTATTTAGCTGTATATACATTGGAACTGTATAAAAATGGACATGCTTGTTTTACAGGTGAACATCATTCCAATAATTGCAAAGGCTGACACCATTGCCAAGAATGAATTGCACAAGTTCAAGAGTAAGATCATGAGTGAACTAGTCAGCAATGGGGTTCAGATATATCAGTTCCCCACAGATGAAGAAACCGTGGCAGAGATTAATGCAACAATGAGTGTAAGTCCTCAAGTTACATGGGAACAAGTGGCTTTCTTAGAAGCATTTCTTAGTACCAGCATTGCAGAGTGGATGCAGAAGCCTGCACCGGAAACCTGAGGTTTTCACTGTGGGGCTGACTGCTACTACTGCAAGCCAACAAGTATGTGCCTCTGTTTCCCTAGCTGTCAAGCCGGAGAGTTAGGCAGGATGATCTCTGTTTGTTTGTTTTTTCCTACTCTAACAATTATGGTTTCTCTTGTAAAACCTCATACAAAGCAGCTCACAGGAAAGTGCTCTCTGCTTGCTTCTGTCTTGACAATTCTGTTTGATAGTTGTTTTCTGCCTTTCCCTTCTTTCATCAAATAGTAAACCGACAGCTGATGGTAGGTACAGTGTCCGAGCACAGAGAAGAGCCAGTCAAGAGATAAATGACTATGTGTGCTTTGACATAGTCCCTCCTGAGAAACCTCTGCCCTGCCCAATTAACTGTATTGTTTCCATGGTGGATCTGTGAGCCAATTCATACCTTTTTCCTTGGGAATGTGTAATTCTCAACCACAGCATCATGCACACAGTTGATGCCATGTGCACTTGTTAGAATTTAGGTAGGTAAAAGTCTGGAATTCCTCGGAGAAGCTGGGGAGCGGAGCAGTCACACAAGAGGGGTACAATGGAGGAGGCTCACTACTTTTCCTCAAAAGAACCAAAACTAGTGGAAGAAGAGCTGTGAAGGGTTTGGTCCAGTGTGAAGTCTGACATTGGAGCTAGTGTGATGGAAGAAATGCCTGATTGAATGCTTTTCCATCCCATGTGGCTAGTAGACAATAGATGCTGATTGAATCCATCTAGGAGAGATGCCATAGAGAGCATTCATATGGGTTGAAATGGGTAATTGTAAAACATGTCTGCTACCTCGGACCTTCTCTGGATGTGGATTTTGAGAGCCTCTTGATAACAGTAGCCTGTGACATTTATAAAGTGGATAGGGTATTTACTGTGCACTAGGCATTTACACTTAGTGCTCCCAGCAGTGCTGTGGTTATTGCTGCCTCACTTAAGGAGGGTGAGTCCAGTACATTTATTGCCTTGTAGAATTTGAACCAGGCAGTTTACTTTCGAGCTGACACTCTCTTTATATTCAGCGCCACTGAGGAGAGCAGTGTCCTTTTTCATCATGGGTCAGAAGTCCAGACCGAGGTGCGTTCTGCTGTGGAACTGTGGGTAGGCTTCAGGAAACAGCACGAGTGAGTGCTGTCTACTTTCTTTATAGCTCTTCCTGGCCTCCTAAATTCTGTTTCATGGTCAAGAACTAAATTTGTGTTCAACTTCTTGGGAAGAAAATACCCATGAACTTTTGCTCTCTGTCTTTATCAAGCTAACTGAATCTGAAGACTTGTGACATCCCAAATGAATTGGGCTCTTTATCAAGAGGTTTTCTTTTAGGCTCTCCATGGCAAACAATTCCTGCTGATGGGGGTGCCATAAGATGGCAAGGTCACCTTGGGACATTAGGCTTTGAGTCTGAGAAAGAGAACATGTCAGATGAACTAGGTAATTTAAGTACTTCGTGCATCATTCAAAACACTGCTTGGGAAATCAGATCCTAGGATTTTGCTAGGCTATCTGTGGGAGGGAATTTGGCTTGAAAACATTCCCTTGTCAATTTAATCTCTAGGGGAAGGGCACTAGACTGAGGACCCTGAAAAATAATTTTCTGAGCAGCTGTTTAGAGTTTCCTTCTTCTTGTATGCTAACGAAAACCAAATAGATTTGTTCTACCTCACTCCCAGCAGGTAGCCATAACTATCAAATTAACTGGTGTGAAAAGTCCATTGTCTTGTACATCATATCTATTTGAGATAAATGGGGGTGAGGAGTAAGCCAAGATTTTTGAATAAATTGTGTTTCCTACTTAATCTGTGTACTAACTTCCTAACAGTTCTGTTCACTAGAAATTCAATGGGACCTACATAAGTTATTTAAAACTTTCTAGTAGCTACATAAAAAAGGCTGAAAGGTATAAATTCCAAGGATCTACTTAATTTAATATATCCAAAATATTATTTCAACATGTAATCAATTTAAAAACTACCTGTGTGATATGTTAATAATGGGTCTTTGAACTCCAGTATACATTTTGTAATTTTCAGATTTTAAATTTTTATCAGAAATGCATAATATCAGAGCCAGCTACAGTGATGATAGCCAAATACCTGGAAATCTCAGCCACTTGGGAGGTAGAAATTAAAGGATTGAGTTCAAGGCCAGCCCAGGCAAAAAGTGTGATACTGTCAAAGAGCAAGCAGGTATGGTAGCACATGCCAGCTACATAAGGAGCAGAAGTAGGAGGATTATGGTTTGAGGTTAACCCCTTGGATAAATAAGTGTGAGACCCTAACCGAAGAATAACTAGCAAAAATGGCCGAAGTGATAGAGCACCTGTCTAGCGAGAGCAAAGAAGGCCCTGAGTTCACACACACACACAAAAGAACAAAATACTTGATCTATATTTAGAGTTCATACAATTGACAGTTTAAAAGCAGATTCACATAAGTTATTCTTCACATATTTTAAAGCTTTTCAGTATAAAATGACTAGCAAAATGATTCTTCCCTTTAGAATTTCCATCTACCTTGAAAACCAATCTAGTCTTTTTTTTTTTTAATAGCGTTGATTTGACTTTGAGTCTAAGTAAAATTCATAAAATTTTATGTACAGGGAAACTATTTTCTACTGCTCCCACTTTCAATTCAAATGTAAATTACTTAAAAGTAAGTACAATTTAAAAAGTGAGTTTCTTGGACCTGCCAGGATATCCCAAGTTCCCAGATAGCAGAAGGCTCCTGTGTTGGCTGGGACACAGAGCTAAGGCTCACAATAGTGTTCCTCTGACTTCGTTCCTCCTGCATCTCACTCATATCAAGCATGCAGTATTTGGCTGTAGGGGGGTAGGTTGCAGGAAGTGCCTCCATCACACCAGACAGTGATCTACTCCCTGTTTTAAGGGCACCACCTTTTCTCTTGCTCCCAAGCAGAGGTCCCTGTGTACCTGGAAGAGTGCAGGGGTGTACGGAGCAACCATGTTTGTGGTAGCTGTAGAAGATGTCTTCTCTTGACTTGGCAGGTCCATCTCCCATTCGCAGTGGTTGGCAGCACTGAAGAGGTGAAGATCGGCAACAAGATGGCCAAGGCCAGGCAGTATCCCTGGGGCGTGGTGCAGGGTATGTCTGGTGTGGGGAAATGCCTGTGGTGAATGGCCCCGTTTCTTCCCTCCTAGTCTTGTGTAGGAAAGTGATGTTTCACAAGGATCATCAGGAGGAGAATGAGGCCATTTTAGCCCTGGCCATCCTGGGGAAGAGGAGGAAAACAGTCATCAGGCAGGTGGACCACAAGAGAAGGAACTGCCAAGCCTTACTTCCATAAGGCTGTCCTTTCAGAGGATGAGTGGTACTTGGTCATGGTGCTCACACCTGTCATTCCACCAACTACTTGGAAGGCAGAGACAGGAGGATCATGAGTTAGAGGTCAGCCCAGGCAAAGTTGATGAGACCTGTCTCAAAAACAGAAAGACAAAGGGGGCTGGAGACCTGGCTCATATGGTAGAGCACTTACTGAGGCTTGTACTGGTTTAATGCCATGAAAAAAATGTTTAGTTATATATGAAATTTATATTAGAAATTTTCTTTTCCTAAAAAAGGAAAAAAGAGGCCTTCCCTAGGAGTTTATATCAGTCGTGCTAGCAAAATATCAGCTACACTAACAACTTTTTTTTTTTTTTTGGTTGGTTGTGGGGGCTGAACTCTGGGCCTGGGCACTGTCCCTCAGCTCTTCAGCTCAAGGCTAGCACCCTACCACTTGAGCCACAGCCTCTTCTGGCTTTTTTCTGCTTATGTGGTGCTGAGGAGTCGAACCCAGGGCCTCATGCATGCGAGGCAAGCACTCTACCACTGAGCCACCTTCCCAGCCCCTACACTAATTTCTTGCAAACCATAGAGTACTTGTTTTTCTATCATCTGAGGGAAAGTTGTTTGCCAAGGAAATGTTACTTCATAGATAGCTGGTAATTAGGAATAATGGTGGTACCTATTACAGGCCTATAGCATGGGGGGCGGGGGATAGTCATTGGCCTGGCTTTGGATCCACATAATATGGTGTTTGGTTCTGTTTAGAAGGTCAGTTTGCTCACCAAAGCCAGGTTTCTGCATCTGCAGAACAAGAGTCTCAGTATCCGCCTGGCAGAATGATTAAGATCGGTAAAGCTTCCTCAAACCCAGTGAGCAGCATTGAGAGGCACCTGGCCTGTATAGGTCAGGATTGCTGCCATCAGCGGGCTGGTCAGCCTTGACTTCTGCCTTGCTTAGGAACTGGAGGTGAAGGCAGTGGAACATCTTCACATGGCCTCTCATTTCAAGAGAGGTAGGAACAATGTGTTAGATTTTGTGACTGAAATGCCCCACTTCCTCCTCCCTTGCAGTGGAGAATGAAAACCACTGTGATTTTGTGAAGCTGAGGGAGATGCTGATCCGCGTGAACATGGAGGACTTACGGGAGCAGACGCACACCCGCCATTACGAATTGTATCGGCGCTGCAAGCTTGAGGAGATGGGCTTCAAGGACACTGACCCTGACAGCAAGCCCTTCAGGTATAGGGGTACCCAGCACTCAGGAACCTCTCAGACAGTGATGGCAGAATCGCACAAAGGCTTGTTAGATAGAAGCATTGGCATGGTGACAGTTAATGACACTTGTCATCAGGCATTGGAGGCTATATCTCAACTAACTGATACAGTGGAGGTCCCGTATGATCATCTGTTTTACACATAATGAGACACAAGGCCCTAGAAGTTGCTTGCCTAAGGTCTTGTGATAGTAAGTGTAGGGTGGACTTGGGGGAAAATAAAAGCCTTAAGGGTCTCAAAGCAGAAGATTCCTGAATGGGTGTGCAGTGACTTTTGTTCTTCCCTGTAAGCATGCTGTCTCCCTATGGTTTTATCAGGTGTTTATAAGCAGAGACAGCCATCACCTACCTACATTTATGTAATGAGAATAAGATGAGGAACAGGGCTGGGTGTGTGCAAGTCCTCCAAGCATCCACAGGCAGTGAAGCTAACAAAGGGCAGTCCTGCTGTCTTCCTTGAATCTACTAAGCTCAGAGTTCATCACTCTTCTTGTCCTCAGGCCATCATCCTGCTCTTCCACTTGGTCCCATGCTGCTCCATGGCAGGGGAACAAGCTTCTACCTGCCAGAACATCATTCCTTCCCTTGACCTCCCTCCCGCCCCCGGTGTCTCTGGCTGGTATTTTAGGAGAGGGCTCCTACATCACAGTGGAGACTGATGGTGTCTCCCTGAGCTTCTTTTCTCTTGAGACCCCACTGTACTTTTTACAGTTGTCCCTGCCCAAAACTGCCTTTTTCCTCCTGTCAAAATACCAGTCTCCTAGACTGGTGCTAACCAGTCAGCTCACAGAGAGTGCTTAGTAACCACCATTCTCTCGGAGTTTAGAAAGTTCTGAGGCCTGCCTGTTTATTGGCTTTTTGATTCACCAAGCCATATAGATAGGGTAGGGCTGAGCTCTCCCATCTGAGTGAGGTGGCTGAGGTCCAGTCCCAGCCTTAGCTCATGCTCATATTTCTACAACCATAAAATGGAGGGGTGGATGCCTCCTGCCAAGTGCAAATTGCTCTGTAAGAATCCTGGTGGTGATATAAGTTGCTGGTGGCTCATGCCTATAGTCTTAGCTACTCAGGAGGTGGAGATAGGAGAATCATGGTTTGAAGGATAGAAAAGTCCATGAGACACTTGTCTCTAATTAACTACCAAAAAGCCAGAAGTGTATGTGTGGTTCAAGTGGTAGAGCAAACAAGAGCAAGAGCACAAAGCTGAGTTCAAGCCCCAGAACTGGTTCCCACATGTGCATGCACCTGTGACACACACACACACACACACACACACACACACACACACACACACACACTCTACTTCACAACTTAGGATACATGATATAACTAAGAAATTGATTTGGTTTATATCATTAATGATGATATAGATCATTGTGATTTTTAATATAGTGTTGTAAACCAAGAAGCCCATTTTCCTATTCTGGCCCAGAATGTCAAAACTACTACCAAGATTCATGTCAAGGCCAATAGCGAAGCTGCTCCTTAGACCTGTTCTCGACTGTGCACTGCAGCTGTGGAAGAAGCATAGAATATGAAAATTTCTTCCTTCATGGTCCAATGTATTCATTCCATGTTCTTTACCAACTCTTGTTGTACTGTACTCTAGTTTTTTAAGTATTTTTTTTCTTTTAACATATTAGTTAAGACCCATGTTTGGGTTGTATTGCATAGGTTAAAGATGGTTCTCTAGAAAGTGGCACATTAGTTAGGCTGTGATTGGGACTGGGTAAGGCAGTCATCTTGAAATTCTCACTATTGGGGTAGCATTATTCAAAGCACAGTCTGTCTAGGAGTTTGTTCAGAGTATTTCCATGATGAGCAAATCTGAGGAGCTCCAAGTTAGTCTAGTCCAGTTCTTTTACTAATGGGTAGTCAGCAGTGGGTAGCAAATGAGTTCCATGGAATCACCTAAGAAGAGACAGACTATTTGACCTTGACCAGATGTCCTGCATGAGTTTAGGGACGTGTATTTAGAAGAGTTATCCTGAGGTGCTACCAGGGTGGTGGAGCATGATGCACTGTGGGGGGTCCCTGAAGGAGAGTGCATGAGCAGAGTCTGACTCTGGAACCTTCAATTGGAAGGAAATGGTAGTTTCTGGAACTTGTATGGGTGGTGCTTCTTATAGAAGGTGCTCCATTGAGGGGGAAGAAATTTTATAGCAAGAACAAGCTATCCTTGCCTTTGGCAATTCGGACACAACAGGATTCTCAGTAGCTACAGGCCCTAAAATTGAAGTCCAAATACTACTTTTACTATTAGTCAATATTTTTTTATCTCATCAGATAATATGAAAGAAAACTCCAAACACATAAGTGTTCATATGTTGAGGGCAGAATTTCTCATAAGCCAATGTAGATATTAATTATGGAACTATAATCATCCCAAGTAACGCACTTGTTCAGTCTGTTTTAGATTTGTGTCTACATGCATGTGTGTTCTTCCACTTGCATTTCCTTTTCTCTCTCAATAGTGGGCAGGCGTGACTAGTGACTCTGCAGGGTGCCTGGGAGCAGCCCCAGTTACTATCCAATTTGTGGTCTGCCCTTAGGATGAACTTGATCATGAGAAATGATAAATGCTTACTCCAATAGTGTGTCTGTACAACAGAAGTGAGAGACAGCACTTTAACAAATATCAGCTGATTTTTCTTTTTTTTGGGGGGGGAGGGATCCAGTTGTGGGGCCTGAACTCTGGGCCTGGACCTGGACGCTGTCCCTCAGCTCTTCAGCTCAAGGCTAGCGCTCTACCACTTGAGCCATAGCGCCACTTCCGGCTTTTTTCATTTTGCTTATGTGATGCTGAGGAATCGCACCCAGGGCCTCAGGCATGCAAGGCAAGCGCTCTACCACTGAGCCACCTTCCCAGCCCCTGATTTTTCTTTGTAATGAGTATGTATGTGATGGGAAATGGAGGTGGGCTGTACCTTTTTGGCTATGTCACCAAAGGCAGTTTTTCTGCAAGTCTTGAGATAAAGCTGAGATCATGGCATTTAATGGAAAACATTAGGGTCTCAGGTCAGTAGACAGAAAGAGGATAGGATTTTAAATGAAAATAATATTCTTCTCCATACTGTTTCTTGAAGCCTGTTCACTAAGTCTGCTTTTCATATTAGAGGCTGGAAGAATATGAGTAGAGGAGGGGGACATTTATTAAGCACTGATTCTATGTCAAATGCTTACTTTTCCTACATATAATTTACATATAATAACGTCCTTGGACAGTAAGTGTCATTATATCCGCATTTCATGTATCATATGTCAGAGGCTGTAATCAGGAAGCAACACTGAATTTTATCAAAGGCTTTAATTCATCTATTGGCATTCTCATATAATTTTTGTTCTGGACTCTATATGTGGTTTTAAGTTGTATTCTACAATGAAACTGACTTGATAGTAGTGTATGCTCATTTTAGCTTGTTATTTGATACAATTTACAATTTTTTTTTCTTTTATGGTCGGTCGTGGGGCTTGAACTCTGGGCTTGGGCGCTGTCCCTGCGCTCTTCAGCTCAACGCCAAGCGTTCTATCGCTTGAGCCACAGCACCACTTCTGTTTTTCTGGTGGTTTATTGGAGATAAGAGTCTCACGGGCTTTCCTGCCTGGGATGGCTTTGAACCGCGATCCTCAATCTTAGCCTCCTGAGTAGCTAGGATTATGGGCGTGAGCCACCGGCACCACCTAAGATTGGTCAGCTGGAAGGGCCAGGATGGGATCCTTTGCCCTGCCCCCAGCACACACTGGGCCATCTCTATCCCCTCGACCTGTATTTTCCCTGTGGATTGTATGGAGGATAGAACTTGGCTAGTTAGTAGATATTGCTGTGTTGTGCTGGTTGACTAATCTCTGGTTCTTGCTTGTCTGCTCAAGCATACATAAAAACAAAGCAGTGCATTGCATTTAAGTTTTAACATGGCAAGCAGTAGCTTCATTGTTTCAAAGCAGAGGGGGTAGAAATTTCTTACTGTATAATTTCTTACTGTATAACTGTATAACCTGTTCTTGGTTTGTGGTTTTGAATAGTCTTCAGGAGACATATGAAGCCAAAAGGAATGAATTTCTGGGAGAGCTGCAGAAGAAAGAAGAAGAGATGAGACAAATGTTTGTCATGAGAGTAAAGGAAAAAGAGGCAGAACTTAAAGAGGCCGAGAAAGAGGTAAGCCAGAGAAACCTAGGATAATGATCTCATCAATACTTCACATTCTGCAGGTACCCTGAGCTATAGGGATCCTGATAGCCAGGTGTTGTCTACATTTTACCACAAGAGTGGTATACCAGCCCAGCAAGAAAAATGGGCCAGAGGGGCTGGGAAGGTGGCTCAGCGGTAGAGCACTTGCCTTGCATGCATGAGGCCCTGGGTTCGATTCCTCAGCACCACATAAACAAAAAGAAAAAAGCTGGAAGTGGCACTGTGGCTCAAGTGGTAGAGTGCTAGCCTTGAGCTGAAGAGCTGAGGGACAGCGCCCAGGCCCAGAGTTCAGGCCCTACGACTGGACCCCCCCCCCAAAAAAAAAAAAAAAAAAAAGAAAGAAAAATGGGCCAGTTATAATTGTTCCCCATTTTACAAATGATAAATTGAGAGTCATAAAGATACAGTGAATTTTTCAGTTGGATACAAAACCAAGACAGTAGCAGATCTTAGATTTCGGACCTTGTCATATGGTGCTTGCAGCTCCATACTTGCTCAGTTTATGGCTCTTGAAATCTACATTGTACAGACATTACCTTAGCTTTAAATAGACAAGGAACTAGAGGCAAGGCAGAGAAAGGTATGTCACAGGTGTAGACAGGTTGAGCATTTCCTCAGTCTGTCTCTTGAAGAAGTTATTGTATCTTTACCATTTAAGAGGAACAGGAACAAGTGGGTTATTGTTGGCTATCAGGTGTTCTGTCCTGAACTTTTTGGCTGTTTTCTTGGGACAATTTCACTTATTGCCACAAGATGATAAGAAGACATTTCTTACTTAAGGGACAGTTTGCCTTTTGTCACAAGATGCTTATCAGTGGTAAATCCTGTCCTTCTTGGAGAATTATAGCAGTCGTTTCCTCCTTCCTTCCTGGTGGTGTTTTTGGTTATTTATTTATTTGGTGCTGGAGATCAACCCAGGGCCTCACACATGCTAGGAGGCCTTCTACCCATCAGCTACACTCGACACATCTTATCATTCACGTAGCTAATATAGAGAGAGCTAATATATATGTATATAGAGAGATGTTCTCCCATCCCCACACACTTATAAACATTATGTATGTGTATCAGTAATGGTATTTTATACATGTTGAAAAAGGACCAGAAATAAAGAACCACTTCTATCACTAAAGTGGATTTGTCATTAGGTCACAGATAAGTTTTACCTTCTTTATGTTAAAAAAAAAAAAAAAGAGTATGTACCTTATCAGAAAGAATGTCTGTGGAGTTTTCAGCCCTAAAGAGTTTGTGACAAAGGCTTAAGCTCAGAGGGCAGAGGGTGAGGATCTTCAGCGTCTTAGCTTGCTTTTCTCAGCATCTTAGCACTTCACCTTTTGGCTTAAATCAAATGCAATGCAGCCACTGTTTTTGAACTAGTACACATAACATGTATCGTATGTGGGCAACAGCTTCACTCCCTCCACCAAGCCTGTCTTTCCCCTTTTCTCTCCAGCTTCATGAGAAGTTTGACCTTCTAAAGCGGACACACCAAGAAGAGAAGAAGAAGGTGGAAGACAAGAAGAAGGAGCTGGAGGAGGAGGTGAACAACTTTCAGAAGAAGAAAGCAGCGGCCCAGTTACTACAGTCACAGGCCCAGCAGTCCGGGGCCCAGCAAACCAAGAAAGACAAGGATAAGAAAAAGTAAGCAGCTGTCACTCTTCCTCTTGGGGACCTCTTAATGATTCATTCCTCTTGCATGTCTACTTGCCCATTTTTCCCCCATTGACAGACTGGAAACTAGTCTGTTAGCAGAAAAATAAAAGCACGCATTTTCTGTATAGTGCAGGAAAGATGACAAAGGTTTTAAAAGTATTTTTAAAGGATCCCCAAGGATTAATTTATAAAAACTTGGCTGTGTGGATAACGCAATGAGGACTGAAGTCATCTACCGTAGCATCTCTGCACCAACCCTAGGGCTCTCAGAGAAGATGAGTATATTTCTCTGAAGACAATTCTCATGACACTTGGTAAAGAGGATCCTAAAATCATGATTGTTAAAATGGTTTTTTCTGTCTTGTAAGGCGTGGCAAGCCAGTCATTAGCAATCTTGTTCCCAAACTTCAACATGCACAAGAGCTGTGAGTGGCCACCCGTTTCCTCTGAATTCATCAAGATGGTGGATTGTCTTATTGTGAAATGTGCTCAAAGCCCATCCAATTGACTCACTTTTGCTAACCCTCCAGACACACCTGTACCCACACACAACATGTTAAACTGCGGCCTTGATTTAATGTGCCAAAGGGTCAGATTGTGCTCTTGAGTGGGTTACTTCAGTAGCAGCTGTCTGATCCCAGAGGGAGATTTGAGCTTCCTTGAGATCCTCCTGTAATCTGAAACCCTCTGAATTACTAAAGACCAGAGGGTAGTTTTATGACAGTAGCTGATGGATGACAATAAATCCCATGAGAAGGAGATGGGTGGAGAACACTTTGTGGTGGTCTCATAATGAACCTCTGGATACTCTCTTGTGTCTGGGGAAGTTGCTGTGCTTCAGGGCAGCCCCTGGAGTTTGTTTCAGGAATCTTGCTCTTCATCCTTTAATGCCAAGGTGCTCAGCAAAAAGTGAACAGCTAAGTATACAACAAAAATGTTGGTACTCAGCAGGCAGAATTACATTCTTTGGAAAGGTGGCAGATAACATGGAGTTTCTGCAAAATGCTAATTGAGACTTGGTGGGAAAAGCAAGCTCAGTGCTGACACACCTTCAACTTTGTCAGGTTCGCTCCTATGGAATCAAGAGATGTCGCCTGGTGGAAAGATCAAAATGCACCAACCACAGCACAATTAGATCATGCTTTACACACTGTGACTTTCTAAGCACTGAGTGGGCAGTGTGTCAGGACAGTAAAGAAGCAGGCAACTTTTCTAAGCAATCACAAGTAGTTTACATGAGAAGGGATTTTAATTGGGATTGGTACGGACCCAAGTGTCCAAAGGCGTCCCAGAGCTCAGAATCTAGTAATACTGAATTAATTCTCACAGAAACAATTGCCTAGATTATAACCTACATCAAGAAAACACTAATAGCTGTGTACTGGGAGGGCTTTGGACACTGATACCAGTATTCCCCACATAGAGTCTGAGATTACAGCCACTCTTTCAGAGAAGACAAATAAAAGCCATTTGTCATTGAACCCTTGATCCAAACCAAACCAGGGGAAAAATAGGGGTAGGTGTGTGCATGTGTGCATACATAAGTGTCAGTGTGCACATATGTTCACATAAGGTGTGAATGAAAGAGAAAGCTGCCGGCTCACAGCTTAGGAAACCCAAAGTCTAGGTTTTCATACCTTAACATACGTAAAAGGTACAAATTTTAAAATTAAAATGTTTATAAAAGACCAGCAATGTTGAGAGAATGTTCCATGTGAACTAGATGTGCCTTTTGGCAACACAAATTTCAAGAGGTGATTAGCATTGTGCTGCATTAAAAAAAAAAATCCATCTAGTAAGAAACTGCCCAGTGCGGGGAACTTCTTCCATGCATTTCTTGACAGGTTAGATTGTTTTCTTCCCATCCTGGGCCTTATCACTGTATAATGCTTTACATAAAGCATTATATAAAGTCTGTGGGAGTTCTATTTTAGCATATTGATATATTTTCTTGTGTTTTTAATGGCCTTAGACTTAGTTCACAGTATTTTTTGTGTGTGTCACACTTCCCTATGTATAGTGAAGGGAAAAGCTGATTGGAAGCCTGAAGTTACCTCTCTTAATTACCAGTGAGAATGGACAGTTTCCATTAGAGAGGACCTCTGGGCAGTAATCAGGGCAACCAGAGCAGCACCTTGAACAGCAGTGGAAGGTTCTTCCTCTTAGTTGTAGCTGGAACAGGTTCCAGAGTTACCACCTATGCATTTTGGGAGCTGGCTTTGTTGGAGAGAGAACATTTTACAAACGATGCTTATTGGTTTACCTGCGATGCTTCCACCTCCAAGCTTAACTCTAATCATCTTAAACTCTCTTTTTCTATTATAATGATGCACTCCTTTTTTAAAACATAGGTAAGGCTTTATACTTCTCCTTGACTTGCAGTGGCATGAAAGTAATTAACATTTCCTAAAATTACAAAGTAGAACTAACCCTGGCATTGCCATTAGGTGGATCCCATTAGCTACCATGCCACTTTCCCTATTTGTGGCCTCCCCACTGGTGGGACTGGCTGAGGGTAAGTTATACAATGGACACAGGTGATGCTCCCTGAAGATGTTTGTACACTTTCAGCAGGCATTTGCTGGTGAAGGTCCATCAGTCTCAAAAGAACGCTCTAAATTTCATCATTTTAAAACTGGCACATAGTGACTACAGATTATGCAACCGTCTACTCACCTTTTTTAAAATTCTTTTTTATTTATTTATTTTTGCTAAGCATAAAGTTGCATGTTTTGGACTTGCTTAAAATGAGCTGTGTATGTTTGGCGTTGCTTAGTACCAAAAAAAAAAAGGGAAACACTCTTGACATTGCTGTAAATGTAGCCATACAATGACTCTTCTTTTCCTTTCCTTCCCAACTAGATCAGTAGCATGTCTTCATCCACTATATTCTAGTTCCCAAGCAACTTTCAACCTCTCCAAACCATAAGGTGGTTGTTGTTTTTTAAACATATTTATTCTTTGACTCCTTTGGCAGCTCAGAAGTGGAAGAATGAAGTCCTTATTGAGTGCCAGTGTGATATCTAATAGATAATGGTTTGTGTAATTACAAAAAAAACCAAAAAAGACATTTTTCCATTGGAAATGGGGTGGTTTCAAGAAGTCACTTGTGAATTCTAAATTTGTGCAAATGGAAACTAACCGTGTGTTCTTTTATTCAGTATGAAGTGTTCGCTTTCGCTGTTGTGTGGAATAGCTTACTCAAGTTTTTGGTTTTGGTTTCTGTCAGTTTCATAATCATTGCATGAGCAGTCACCATCACTGAATGCTGGTGCTGGCGCTCCTAATTTTCCTTTCTTTTTTAATTTATTATTATTTCTAACTTTTTTGTTTTGTTTTTTAACTTGCAGTGCAAGCTTCACATAAAGCCTGGCCAGCCAAGGATGTTCCCGCATTCACCCGCTTTTGCAGTAACCGTGTATCTCTGCCATCTTTGTCCTTTTGTTTTATTTGATTGTTTTGCCCTTCCCCAAACACAAATAACTCTTAACTCATTTTGCTGAATGTTGTCGGGTGGTGGAAAACCCTAGAACAAGGGAATAGCAAACAGCAACTGCTCTGTGCAGCTGGACTCTATTTCTGGCAAGTCAATGATTTGCTTTGTATGCCTATTCCGAATGGCAGTGGAAAGCATGCCTGTTACTTGTATGTCGCTTTGGACGGAGGAAAGTGGGGTAAAAAGCTACCTGTACGTCTGACGTGAAAACTTCTCACCGCCTCAGCAGCTCAACTAAAACCCTGAGTAGCCATGGCAACAACTGATCGCACAGTCCCTGAGCTCACTGTCTCTTCTCCACACCTGCCGCAAACCAAGGCAGATTTGTATGTAGGCAGAACAGTGGGTAAGCATTTGCAGATACCTTTTACCTTTGCATGAATGTTTCATTTTAATTGCTTGCATTACTTGGCCTCAGCTTGTGGTCTGTTCAGACTGTCTCCTGTTAGGGACTGAGACTGCGTCTGAACACTGCCTCTCCAAGCCTGGCCCAGTTGGTCTGGACTGGCATAAGAAATTGATGATTAAGTTCATGTTCACCAGTGCATCCTTAACCCTCTCACAGATCATCAGTCTCGAAGGTCAGGTTATAAAACCTCAATAGAAGAATCTACCACTGAGCACAGTAGGCTTCCCATATCTCCTTTCATAAACTTAAACCCACCTTTGCTCTCTGGATTGAGGGATAGAACCTTCTGATTTAGTGGAGGGGTACCTCCACTAAAAAGTTTTCCCTCATGAGAAAACTGCCACAAACACTTCCAGTGGAAATTTCTCTGTGAACCATGTGTCATCAGCATATATTTGTAAAGATCTTGTGAATTTAAGGTAGAATGGGAAGGAATGTAACAATAACCCATGCATCCAGAAAGTTGTTGTTTTGCTTTTTTAAAGAAAGAGTAGCAATGAGACCTTACTTGCAGCTTCCTTGCTGGAATCTGGTTGTCTTAAGGGCATTTCCTCCCTTATGCGCCCCACCCACCTCACCCAGGTGGCCTCAACCATACACCAGGACATGTACTACCTGCCTGATTTGTGTGGAGAAGGATATATTTTGTCTCTCCATTGCTTCCTTTCATCTACACAGTGCCCATTCCACTCCTAACTGTCGTCTCCCATTTCTTCCTTGAAAGGATAACCTTTTCATGAACCCCGTACTTCCCCTCAGACAGCAGGCAGAGAAACAGGATAGATTGTGCTGCACTTCCCTTCCTCTCCCAACATGAAACACTTTTCTCTCCAAACAAACAAAAAGAATAAATCTGACTCAAGCAAAGATGATTCCCCCCTCCCCCCCCCCCCCCCCCCCCCCCCCCCCCCCGGGTTTTCATCCCATTTTCATGAGGGGAAAGAAAAGGTCTTTCCTGGGCCAATTTAGGTTTGCTTAAGCAACTGGGGAAATCACTTTCACTGAGGCAAACTTAAGCTGGGTTAGAAACTAGACTTAGAAGCAGCGGTGGAGATTCTCACTGGCCAAGGAGCCACTACACCAGCATTTTTGTCTTTCCATATGTTTTTAAAGTACTTCTGAAGTGTCGATGGCATGCTGACTCTAACCACGGGCTGCATTTGCTCCTGTGCTGGGCGCTTGCACAAAAGCTTGAAAAGTTGTGTTGTATGTTCCAACCCCTGCCTGTGTGAGTATTTTTTTGTGCCTGGTAATAGAAAGTGCATTTTTCCATTCTATTTCTTGCATCCCTGCAAGGTTTGAAAAGTGAGCTTCGCAACATAAACCATCCAGCTGACTTTTTGATGCCAAGATTTATTGATTTTTTTTTTTTTGCATTAAATTTTTCACAGCAAAATGGAGAGTCAGGGAATAAAAAGTCTAAAGAAACATGGACATTTTTTTTTAAAAATGTGTTGCTTCTGAAACTTTTTTTTCCACACTGCTCCCCAGCCCTGTTTAGTTTGTTATTGCTGCTCTTTTCTTTCTGTATCTATGCCTTTTTTCACAGTAGTCCTTGGCTCTGCACGGAATAAATGATACCCTCAAATCTAATTGGATGTGCTTTCGCCTTTGCATGTAAGTACAGCAGGAAGAAACTTTGGAGATCTTTCTGACTTTAAACTTAGAGGAACATTGGGATAGATGAAATTTTTTTTCTTTTGGAATAGGATAAGGAAATAATGGTCTGAGTAGATTGTTTTGTTTTTAGCTAAATATACCTATGAAATGGTCCCATTTCTATTTTTTTGTATCATTGGTATGTTTTTCAACTTCTTGATGTCAAATGTGGATGTCAGGAATCATTGCTCCCAGCCTGTGGGCCTCCCTAGTCACCAGAGAATCCTTGATTCTGATGATGAATACTAAGCTAAAATGAGAAAGTCTTACCTTCTATTGGGAACAAACAAAAACAAAACAAAACAAGGAACACATTTATGCCAGGCTGCCTTTATGGCCACCTCCCTACATTTTGGATCTTAGTTTAGTGGCCTCTTTGTGGTGCTAGCTGCACAGTGGCCACCTCTTTTGTGCCAGCTAGCTCTGGCTAGCCTCCCTCCCTCCACATCTTTTTGCTACTTCTGGACTGCAGATACCCATAGCAGTTGGGTGTGCTGTAGCATATGACAGAAAAGCATATATGAGATTTAATGGCAGTTTAGAGACTCTGTTTTCCAAGCTTCAGGTCTATATTAAGCAGTCAAGGTTTTGTCCAGAAGGGCATCTCGATACCATGGGAGTTGTTTCATGTGATGTTAGCTGTGAGTTTATCTTCCTTCCTTGCTTCACAAATCACCAGCAATAACACTTAACTCTCCGTATCTTGTGCACCTCAGATAAATAGGCTTGGTTGCCTCATTTTCTTGACAAAGCCGAAAGTGTTTCACAGATGAACCTGTTTTGAGTTGGGTTTTGAGCTGTCCCCGACACATGTCATACTGTCTGTGTGGTCTTCTCAGAACTGTCCAATCAGATCCCTTGGTTTTGCCATGTACCAGTGTCTGGATTGTCACGTCTCACCTTCCACAAGCCCTGCTTCGACTGGCAGGACACATCTGTGATGCTGATCACTTCTTAGCATTATGACCTATGAAGTTTAGTTTGTATGTAGGTATGAAGGGGAATTTTTAAAAATAAATCGAAAATTAAGCTGTGAACAGCATTAGAACTTTGTCTATTTCTTGATTTTAAAATATGCTGATATGCCTTAAACTGTAGCTGTAGATTCTTGTCATTTTTGCTGTTTGAAAATAACCGATGTGTTTTTTCTAAAATTGTTGTGTAATCTACTTCCAGTGTTAAATGCAGAGTTGTCATAAATGTAAGCGGCATGTTAGACACTTGTCTTTTTTTAAGAACTAAAATAATTGTATTGATGTGAAGCATCATTATTTCTTCAAGTGTGAAAGTACTCATCTGGCCCCCTGCCAGGTTTGTGTCTGTTAGAGTGGCAAACAGGTAATCTATGCATATATCATCACTAGTGCCAACACTTAAAGTGGGGGAAATATATTTTTACCCAAATGTTGTTTTGTGTGCCCTTTTGTGAGTTCTTTTTGGTCACTGCTTGGTATGCATATGTACGCACACACATGCTTGTCATATTGGGTCAAAGAAATAGGGGTGGCAATGTCTCCTGCTTTCTTGCCTTCTATGGGGAACTTAAGTGTGCTGCTATCTGGATGACCCCAGCTTCTCCAAGACACTTCCCTGTGGTGTCCTATAGCTCACATGGTCTTTGCCACCCTCCCCCACCCCAGCCCCCACCTGACCTGTGGACCCAGCCCTGGTGCCCAGTGGAGGCACTGTCCCTGCCACTGCACCCCTCTGTCCATGCTTGGGGACAGCATCCCCTTAACTGATACACTGCTACTCTCTTTCTCCACTTATGGTCGATAAGCACTTTTTTTTAAAAAGACTTTAAGAACTAAATTTGAGTCTGAATCTTTCTCTTTTCTCTTCTGTAGCTTCTTCTTTATGTAGCCATCCTGTTGACAAGCCCCAGTCTCTCCTAATGGACACAGAGCATTAGAAGAGCAGGAGCTGTGTGTCCACACGTGTTGGGGAAGAGTTACCTCCTTTCCACCATCGCCTCCCGTTCTTTTAAAGTCTGGGTCATATATTGCATTGCTGTTTGTATTCGTCAATGTCCTTATAAACCACTGCCCAGAGCCACTACGGAAGTGATGTCATCACCAAAGCTAGTCATACTAAATGATATTCCTTAAAAGGAAAAGAGAAATTGAGTGAGAAAGAGAACTTGGGCCCAAATCCAAGTCTGGTGCTGGAACCCTCGTGTTTAGCTGTCATATTCTTGAAGCTGCTGATCCAGAACTTGTGGGTGTAAGAGAGCATGTGCCCCACCTGAGGTGGATGTTATGTACCTATCCCACCAGAAGTGGCCACCCTCCTTCTCTGGGGTCAGTGTGACTCACGGTACTTGTGACCGCTTTGTCCTGTGAGCAGCATTCTGAATGGTCCCACATCAGGACCTCCCTGCCACAAGGCTTAAGACCTGGATAGTTCTGTGGGTTGTTTTGGTGTTTGGGTTTTTTTTTTTCTTTCTATTTTAACCTTTGATACTGCATGAACAGAGATGGCTGCAATTTATTTTTCCTTTGGAGTGTCCTATTGATACAATGTTTTTATTTTTCAGCTGACCATCTGACTCTTGAGAGAGAGAAGAGGGCATCCTTCCCTAAAATTCAGAAGCCATTGTTGTTTTATTTGACTCCTTGTTTCCTGCATCCCTCATACAAATGGTTTGGGATTATATTGGATGTTGAGGAGTTCCAGCAAATCACTCTTTTTCCATTGGTTACTCAAACTTATTTTTGTTATCAAAGTATGCCAGTCGTTAGCTCCCTTTAAGAGGAAATATATATGAATTTTACATCACAAAACTGTTTAAGAATGTTCTCCTCCTCTCAGGTACAGTTTTTAATCCCCTTTTTGTTACTAGGGTTTTGGTCTACAAGTCTTGATTGTGTTTCGAATGTGCCACTATTGGGTAGATAGATGACTTTTCTACCTTTGGGGCTCAATTTATATTTAAAGATACATTCAAATAACTTCCTGTCCTATCCCTGCCTTTTTCTTCGTGGAGTTCTGCCTTACTTTGTGTCCAAGGTTATTATTTTTTTAAACAGGATCTGTATATCCCAGACATGGGGAATCCCAAACAAGAACCTATATCCTCCCTGGTATCTGTCATTCCCAGTGGCTCTGATTTGCATCTTCTTCCAGAGTGACCAAGGTGGCTTTCTCCACAATGTCTGCCAACTTTCGGAGAATCAAAACGTTTAGACGAGATCACTTAAAGTACATCCATACATACACTTCTACCAGTTGAGTGAGTCTGTGATTTCTAATGCTGACCTGTTGGTGATGAGTCAGATTCTACCTGCATTACTGAAATAAATAATAGTCCCTCCCCAGCAGTTTTCATAACCAATTCAGTTTGCAAATTCATATCTATTGTAGAGTAAGTCTGTGCATTTTAGTTACCTTGCAAATTCATTACTTTTTTGAGAGCTTTGCTTATTTGCAACTTCATTTTTCAGCTTCATAGTCGGTAGATCATAAATGTGATATTGGTGGTGGCATGACTTGCAATTAGTTGAAGACCCATAGGATTGGTCCAAACCATAAGAAAGGTAGCCCTAGGCTTTGTTGGAGCAGTGAAATGAAACCATAGTCCCTATCACTTTGATTTCTAGAAAAGTTACAACTAGATGAGCATGTTGGCAAGTAGCTTTCTTAGAACAAAGCTATTACTAAATGTAAATCATTAAATAATCAAAACATGAGTTAAGAGCCACCTCCTCGTACCATACTACAGTATAGTATCTTGAAGGATAGAATCTGGTCCATTCTCAGTCTTAGAAGTTAAACATACAGATCTTATCGAAACCCCTCAAATTCACTAAATTTAATTAGTTTTATTCTTTTTTAATGAATCATTCAAATATATATTATTTTATTTTGGTCCATTGTGAGGCCTGAACTCTGGGCCTCGGCGCTGTCTCTCAGCTCTTCAGCTCAAGGCTAGTGCTCATCACTTGAGCCACAGCGCCACTTCTGGCTTTTTCTGCTTATGTGGTGCTGAGGAATCGAACCCAGGGCCTCATGCATGCAAGGCAAGGACTCTACCACTGAGCCACCTTCCCAGCCCCCCCCCCCCAGTTTTATTCTTAAACTCCTGATTTTCAATATTTTAATAATCAACTTGATACTATCACTCAATTTTAAGACGATGCATCTGGTTGTAAAGATGGTTTGTGCAATATTTAAAAGTCAAATAGCTTTTTTTTTTCCCCTAAGTAGAGAA